TGTGTTGTGTGTGTGTGTGTGTGTGTGTGTGTGTGTGTGTGTGTGTGTGTGTGTGCGAGCCAAACAAAAACAACAACACTGAAGTAGATAAACAACTTTGATTTCATATTTAGCAGAGAGAGCGATGCGGTTTGTTCCTGTGGTTCCGCTCAGGGTGTGGTTACTTTAAAGAGTTACTTTAAAGAGTCCCTATGAGGGTCCGGAGACTTACAATCATGCAGCACATTTACAAAACAGTTCTAAATTGAGACGAGATCTTTCATTAACCGCACGTTAAGTTTGACAATGTCAATTTGAAGGGTCTTAATTGGGTCATGAGTTTGCACAGATGTACTATTTTCACTTTAATTAATAAACTAGGGATTGTTTTGAGTCTGCGGGTGTTTTTCTTGTTGATTTTTCTGCATTTGGTACTTTTACATTAAATACTTTAAGGACATTTTGCTCATCATACTTTAGTACATACACACGTGTCAATCATAGCCTGTATATATAAATGGACGTAGGGTCCGTGACGTCACCCATAGGATTCTGCAGAGTTGCCGAGAAGCCCTTAGTAGGCGGAGTCGGCCACTAACGGCTCGACAGTGACGTCTGAGTCTAACTCCCGCCTGCTCCAAATAAGGGCAAAGAGGCGGAGCCGAGGCGGGGACCTTCTGCCTCCAGCTGGGAAGTAACAGAGCTAGCTCAAGCTAAGAAGCTAAGCTAACATGGTCCCCATCTGCACACTGCCGTCACATTTTACGTTTCTAAGGTAAGCGGACATGAAACTATTCAGCAAAACTATAAATAATAATCTAAGTTATTGAGTTTTTAGCATAATACTTCAGAATCTTAAAATCCCTTAACGTTTGTATGCAATGTGCTAAATGCAACACTGGAATCAAGCAAATATTAATATGTTTGCATGACATTAGTTATTTATATTTTGCTATCACTTAATTATACGTTTAATACATTTAAGTCAAGCTAAGGTACAGTACATGTGATGGTAGCTAGTTAGTGCTCTTACCTGTGAGGCCTCCTCCAAACAGCATTATAACCAGACTGTATCATTAAAACTATAAGTACCAGTTCTAGATCCTTGACTTTAGACAAACAATTTAAAAGACAAAATGTATTTAAAGACCAATCTTTATTTGAAGGTGCCTCTTAACCTGGGATATTAGTTATACAGTAATAGTATTGACAATCTAAAAAAACTGAGCAACTCAACAGTCAACTTTATATTTCTTATTGTCTAAAGCATTTATTATTTTCATTTTCTCCCTCTCATATTCAGTGTGGAGTGTGGACGGATTGAGACAGCGTGGTGTCCAGAGAGCTGCAGAGACTTCAGGGAGAAACCTCCGTGTGATGGACGTCCTGTCTGTTGGTTTGGAGAGGACTGAGGGAGGACCAGGCCTGATGGAGGAGCCCATGCTGGGCATAGCTGATACCAACTGCACAGGCCTTGTCTGTCACTTTATTTGACTAAATGTGTTTACTTATACATTTAATAGGTTTACACCTTCTGTCCATATGTGCTTTTTATTTAAAACATGTTTGATTAACTTTTGGTTCAGATTTCAATAAATTGAATTTGTATTTGCACTCCTTTTGTCCATTATTCTTACTGAACATGTTAGATTACACATTCACATCCGACTGAAGATTGGCCCCATTTATTTGTGACGTTGCAAACTCTGCGGTACAAGGTACATGTTGTGAAGCTCATGAAGTGAGGCAAATAGAAATAATCAGCTGATGGAGTGTAGATGTGGAAATAGGTGCATTCGATCAGCTGACTTCACAATAAAAGTAGTTTCTTAGTGAATGTCCTGTACTGGTCTTAAAATCTCATAACATCAGCTTTTAATTTTCCTATTGGATGTTCTTCTTGACCCTCGGAGAAGGAGAAAATGTTGAGTCGTGTCTTTCAGGCATGTCCTTTCCTAACAAAAATTACAGGAAACATAAAACATATTATTGCAGAACAAGTGTGTTATTTATGAAAGAGGTGTGCTTGTGTTTAGGGGCTGTAGATATAATTATTTTGTAATTGTAATGTTTTTTTTTATTTCAACAGTGAGCTACAAAGACAATCAGATTATGAATGAACAGTATGAAATTCATCAACATTGAAATGTATTTTATTATCAAAATAATATTGAACTGTTATCAAAACGTAGTTCAACTGTAGAAGCTTGCTCTGTTCTCTCACTGAAATCATAACTTTTACCACGTTTTTTACAGACAATATTGAGAGATAAATAGCAGTTGTCACTATGCGTTAAATATCTTTGCCTTCAATACCTTAAATTAGAAAGCTGACAGTCATATTGCTTGTTAACATCTAAATGTAACCCTTTGCAAAAAACCCTCAACTTCACTGATGTGTAGGTGATCTAGTATTTAGTATTGTTTAATGGAATGTATATCAGTGTATTAAAGTCAATACTTCATTTATTTAAACCAATATCTTTCTTGATTCTTTGTACAGTATGAAAAACGAGTATTTGTACCTGTGCTGAAGTTCACTGCTGTGAGGAGTCCAGTTCTGTCTCTCACTCTCTGGTCCAGCCTGTCGAATCACCTGGACACTTTAAACAAACAGATATATATGTAAAGAACCATGTGTACAAACAATATAACTTATTATCTTCTGTTGAACATGTTGGATTGTGTATTGTCCGAGTCATGGTCCTTTTTATTTTACTGTAACTTTGGAAGTTGTGTTACCAATGCTTACTGTTTATTTGATACCAATTTGGTAATGCAATTAATAAAAACAACAAGGTTTGGGTTCGTTCTTCAGATGACTGTGACGTTAACGTGTAAGCTCAATAATGAACTCCAGCTCAACCAACCATATTGTAATATCTAAGTAATCATCTTGAAATATGACATTAATAATTGTAATATACACACATCTTATTGTGAGGTTGATTTCACATACACTACTTCGACGTTAGCTTGTCTACATACTTGAGCATAGCCAATTTAAATTAACCTTAGGATGCATAAAGTTCCTACCTACATAATAAAATATCTCTCTAAGTTACAAGGATGACCGTATTTTATCAACCTCAAACAGAAGCCTTTTGTTCTACAGTACTATCTCACTTAACGCTTAACACTTGTCTATTTCGTTTTAACCTTTATATATACAGTCTATGGTTTTAAATTAACTTGGAGGCTAAGATTAGCATCGTTAGCACCGATGTAGCTACCACTCGCTTACACGCTAACCCAAGCCTTAACATCCATTACGTAGCTGATTGAAATCATAAACACATAAATAAAGTACTCGAATTTCACTTACCGCAAAACGGCATTCATGCACCGTCTGTTTTAACCGCAGAGCGAGTCACAATAGTCCCATATATAAGCATGAAGAACAAACAATGACGGCCGGGGTCAAGTTGTGTTCCCTGGATGAACTGAGCAGGCAGAGTCCCTGCTGCTTCACGGACGGAGCAGCTAGCAGAGAGACAAGAAGCTAACAGCAGCAGTCACTTGACAGAGCTGTCACTCAATGTGACCACGCCCTAATTTATGCAAAAACTTTTAGACCTAATATAAATAAAAGGGTCATGTTAGAAAACAATTCACTCACAGATTCATAATCATGAAGGTGGAATCTAACTATATACATAATAATATTTATTGCATCCAGGGCTAGAAACGTTTTTTTTCTGCTGTGAAAATGGGCATTTTAACATGGGGGTCTATGGAAATTGCTCCTTTCTGCAGTCATCGCCTATCGGCCAATATATGAACTGCAGTTTGTGGCACTTCCGTATTGGCGTCCCGGCTCTTCCCCAGAGTTTGCCGCTTGGTGTCAATGTAGGATTGTTCATGCATTCTTCCAGCGTGTTATTAGGTTATGGCTAGAAAGGATCCGTCTTGTGTAAATATGACGTCACGTTCTGGTTGTAATTCTCGTTGGAATCGGAGCAGCTCGGGAAGCGCTCGGGAAGAAGGATAAAGTGTTCCTTTATGTGTTGAGAAAATGCCTCTCCTTCTTAAGCCAAGTGAAGTGTTTAAAAAGCCTCTTGGATCAGCTGGAAAATGCATCGTCACAACAGCTGTTTTTCTGAGGAACTCTTGAAAGGTTTACTTTTGAGAGATACGTGGTTCTCACAGGACAGAGACAAAGCTACACATGATGATCTTATAGAATATGATGCATTGCTGCAGATTGAACTACCCAACGGGATATAAAGGAGGTCAACACATCTCCAGCAGTAACATGCAGCATACACATTAATGCAGCAGCAATATGAAGAGAGACATATCAGATATAATAGTAAAACAGGGAACCGTTTACTGCACCAGGAGGACTTTGTCATCGGCTATCTTTTTACTTTTACTGCGACAACGTTTCCTGTGAATACAAAATAAACCATAGTGTTGGTGATCTGCAGTGTTGTCATTCTCCTTTCAACAGCAAGATCGCTAACATCCTATTTGAACAATCACACTCCCTGTAATTGACATAATGAATAGATAGTTTAGCGAGTCACCATCATTTGCTGTGGCCCACTGATGTTAACGATCGTAACTGAAAGGCTGCCAAACGTGACTTACAAACTCTTGGGACAGTTTTACACGAGACGGATCCTTTCTATTCATAACCGTGTTATTACTGATCAACATCTGATATGTTATCAATCATTTCCCTTGTTTTGATGTAAACAGGTACGTTAAGTTTCGACCCTGACTCATTTCCAGGGTCTAAATCGACTCCAGATGAGTTTGCACTTCTGAGAGAGAGCGACCTACTTTATTGCATTCTGATCTCAAAGCATTTTCACATGAAGTTATAAACTTTATAATCAAAAGAAGCAGAGTCTAAATGTTCCTCTGTGGCGTGGACAGACGTGTGTATCCTGTAGAGCAGGGGGTTCAACTCAATTTCATGGTGGGCCACATCAGCATTAAGATTGCACTCAAAGGGCCGGTTGTAACTTTAAGAATATATAAAAATACATAAATATATATATTAAATAATGTCTTATATTATTGGCTCTGCATTGGATTATTATCAGTTCTGGTAACTTCATAATGAACTACGTCTGAAAGCAGAAGGCTGGGGCAAATCATTCAAAGCAAATATTCAACTATTGTATATTCTTTGCAAGCTCTTGTGGGATTTGAGTGTGACGCCCCCTGCTGGAAAAAGGTTGAACTTCACTTCTGAAAATAGAGTTTTGAAGTGTTCAGGGAAGCAGAATGGCTTTGATTATTAGAGTTTCTTTACAGAGGAGGAGGAGGAGGAAGAGTCGTCCAGGAACAGGAAGTCTTCTACCTGCAGGACCCTCGGCTCTTCAGCATCGATTTGAGGACGGAGTTCTGTTTCAAAGCTCGAAGGTTGGAAACGTCCTCTGAGATCACCGGGACATCTTCGCTGACGTTACGCTCGTCTTCATCGCCGTCAGACAGCGTGCAGAGGAGGGCGTCGTTCTCATACGTGGGGAAGTAATACCTGAGGAGAGAGGACTCTTTAAAGTGGAGACGCTACATACTGATATACACCTGAACATCAGCAGGAGAGGACTCTTTAAAGTGGAGACACTACATACTGATATACACCTGAACATCAGCAGGAGAGGACTCTTTAAAGTAGAGACACTACATACTGATATACACCTGAACATCAGCAGGAGAGAACTCTTTAAAGTAGAGACACTACATACTGATATACACCTGAACATCAGCAGGAGAGGACTCTTTAAAGTAGAGACACTACATACTGATATACACCTGAACATCAGCAGGAGAGGACTCTTTAAAGTAGAGACACTACATACTGATATACACCTGAACATCAGCAGGAGAGGACTCTTTAAAGTAGAGACACTACATACTGATGAACACCTGAACATCAGCAGGAGAGGACTCTTTAAAGTAGAGACACTACATACTGATATACACCTGAACATCAGCAGGAGAGGACTCTTTAAAGTAGAGACACTACATACTGATATAGACCTGAACATCAGCAGGAGAGGACTCTTTAAAGTAGAGACACTACATACTGATATACACCTGAACATCAGCAGGAGAGGACTCTTTAAAGTGGAGACGCTACATACTGATATACACCTGAACATCAGCAGGAGAGAACTCTTTAAAGTAGAGACACTACATACTGATGAACACCTGAACATCAGCAGGAGAGGACTCTTTAAAGTAGAGACACTACATACTGATATACACCTGAACATCAGCAGGAGAGGACTCTTTAAAGTAGAGACACTACATACTGATATACACCTGAACATCAGCAGGAGAGGACTCTTTAAAGTAGAGACACTACTCACTGAGGCTGGTTCCAGGTGGACTTGTGAGGAAGCTGCATCACATGTCCCGCCTCCTTCAGGTGTCGGAGGACTTCCTGTCTGCAGCTGAACGTTTCCTGGCAGCCGTAGCAGCGGCTCTGATGGAGCTGACGGCGGAGGAAGTTCACCAGCTTCACCTGGTCGTAGAAACGCAGACCTGCACACACACACACACACACACACACACACACACACACACACACACACACACACACACACACACACACACACACACACACACACACACACACACACACACACACACACACACACACACACACACACACACACACACACACACACACACACACACACAGGAAAACAATATTCATTTTAAGGAGGTGCACTTTGATTTCAATATTTATTTGTTTATGTGGTTTTACTCACTGAGCTCCGTCCTCAGCTCGTGGAGATCAAAGCCATGAGCCTCCTGTAGAGAAATGAAGAGGGGCAATAATTAAACAAGATAAGAGATGTGTGTGTGTGTGTGTGAGTGTGTGTGTGTGTGTCTGTGTGTGTGTGTGTGTGTGTGTGTGTGTGTGTGTGTGTTACCTTCATGTGTGTGTAGATCTGCTCCATAGTTTCTGACTGATGTTCGCAGAAGAGACAAACAGCTGAGACGGGATGAGACTGCCAGTCCGACCAATCACTGCGCAGCACAGAGAGACACAGGAAATCACAAAATTAACTTCATCCATGTTTTAGGCTTTCTTTCATTTTCATCACTTTTTTAACGTTTGCAATGAGATCTAATCTAATCTAACGATGGATCCACTCACTCGTCTCCATCGTCCACCATCTCACGGTCGTCTTCGCTCTGAACCTCCTCCCACGTTTTCCCCAGCTCCTGAGAGACGAAATGTATTTAAAGATTTTATAGAAAGAGGAGAAAAACCTCCACTAAAAATGTATCTAGTGCTGAAACAACATTAGCCGCCTTTAGCTTAGCGGTGGTGACGTGAAGTCATGTGACCGTGCTGTAGTTCCTTTATAGCCCAACATTAGCCGCCTTTAGCTTAGCGGTGGTGACGTGAAGTCATGTGACCGTGCTGTAGTTCCTTTATAGCCCAACATTAGCCGCCTTTAGCTTAGCGGTGGTGACGTGAAGTCATGTGACCGTGCTGTAGTTCCTTTATAGCCCAACATTAGCCACCTTTAGCTTAGCGGTGGTGACGTGAAGTCATGTGACCGTGCTGTAATTCCTTTAAAGCCCAACATTAGCCTCCTTTAGCTTAGCGGTGGTGACGTGAAGTCATGTGACCGTGCTGTAGTTCCTTTATAGCCCAACATTAGCCTCCTTTAGCTTAGCAGTGGTGACTTGATGTCATGTGACCGTGTTGTAGTTCCTTTATAGCCCAACATGAGCCGCCTTTAGCTTAGCAGTGGTGACGTGAAGTCATGTGACCGTGCTGTAGTTCCTTTATAGCCCAACATGAGCCGCCTTTAGCTTAGCGGTGTTGATGTGAAGTCATGTGACCGTGCTGTAGTTCCTTTATAGCCCAACATTAGCCTCCTTTAGCTTAGCGGTGGTGAGGTGAAGTCATGTGACCGTGCTGTAGTTCCTTTAAAGCCCAACATTAGCCTCCTTTAGCTAATGGAAACAGTGGAGAGGGAGGAGATGATATGCAGCAAAAGGCCGAGCCGGATGGTTGCTGCTCCATGTGGAACGTGTTCTATCAGGTAAAGCACTTTGGTACCCAGTTATTTATGGTATTGAGTTTGAATTGAGCCTTTAGAAGGTATTTTCCAACATTGCATTGTAAAGACTGAAAAAACAGGCTCAGGTTAAAGCTTGACATGATTTGGTCTTTTACTTAAAGGTGGGGTTGGTAATTTTGGAGAAACCGGCTCGAGTGCGCTAGAATTTGAAAATACACAGCCGCAAAAAATCTGCCACTTCCTCACAGAGCCCCTCCTCCAACACACACGAGCGCGCACATGACCAATGAGGGCACGAGATAAGTTTGTGCACAGATGGAAGGCTGACAGGCAGGTAGGCCATCCAGTTACTTTAGCCGGGCCGGCTCAGATGATTGGTCGTACTTTTTACAGTACTACGGCTTCCACAGATGACATTCTTTTATGGATTTTTTGTCAAAGCACTTCAGATATTCATTGCTATCGGGATGTTAAGAGCATTCCATGGAATATAACAACAAGTGTATCTCGAGCCGGTTTCTCCAAAATTACCTACCCCACCTTTAATGCTTTACTGCTGTTCAATAAACCCTATATATATATATAGGTATTGTTTTGTTCTTTATTTTTGTTGGGAGAATCACTTTGCAATTGTGTAAGTGCTATAAATAGTTATACTAATATTATTGTTGTTACCATCATTACTATTATTAAAAATGTTTTCTTTGTTTTCTTTATTTATCACTGCAGAAAGGATCATGCCAGCCCACATCAAACACCTGATCAAGAACTTGTGAATCTTCAGGCAGAAAAGATGAAAACACCTGTTCAAAGTTCCAGTTCCCTGTACATGGAACCATGCCTGTCCTCTGTTCCACATGTCTTCAGTCAGTTCTGGACCCCATGACTCGGACACTAGTTCTACCAAGGCTCATTAGAGGTAAGCAGTGGTAGCAGAGTGGAGTTATCTTTGTATTTAGGCTGCAAGTCGACAAGAATAGATTGTTCAGACAAGAGGCACCATGTGTTACGCAGGTGTGGCGCTGATATAGTCTATATAATATGCGGTTGAACTTTAAAATTAAATTATTTCCGGTGCAGAGACAAACACTCGAGGTGGATGTATAAAGTAAATACTGGTGTTAATAAAATATAGCGTATATCCCTCAATTTATCGACAATAAGAATGACAATACATACTTCCGGGTGTAAAGTAATATATCTATCATACTGTAGCAGGGTGTCCGCGGGTCATTAAAAAGTATTAAAAAGTATTAAACGGCATTTTCCAAGGTATTACATTTTGTAGCTTGTTTTCAATAAGTATATAAATTGTCCAAAGAGGTTGTATTCTACAGTTTGCCTGAATGTAATCATTGCGTAGGTGTGTAGTGTGATTCTGTGTAGTTTATTTATGGCATCCCGTTGGGTTTGACGTCATCTGAACAGGACATTGCACCAGGGTTCGAGTTATGTGGGAGCCAATGGGAGCTGAGCTCCCATAAGGAGGGGTCTGAGCTCCCACGGACGCAATGAAATCATACATCTGTGGGGGTCGCTAATACATTACCAACAACCATTATTTTAATCACAAATAATGCATGTGTCAATGTAATGAGTATTATTAAAAAGAAAAACATGTTTTCCAAAAGAACAACGCATCTCTTGAATAACAATATGCCTGCACTGCACCTCCAAGGTGCGCAATACTTTATTGCACAATCTATGCCTGTGAGCGTGCTGCGCGAGCCGAGATGATGAGTGAATAGGCTTGTTTGAGACGAGCTGCGGCTCGCCTCGAAAGTAGACGAGAATAGCCGATCGCAGCCGGGGGAGGTCTCAAAAAACTCGCCTGAAGTCGGACAGCTCGGAGTCGGGTTGCGTTCGAATACTCCAAAAAAACAGCTCCTAAGTTCTATCCCTATCGTCTATTCCTTGACCTCGGAGTGAAACGTCATGGGGTTAAGGGATAGTGGATAGGAGAATTCAAAAGGATTTAGGAGAAGAGACTGCGGTACTTAGAGAATCCGACTGCACTTTCACTATCCGACGTGTTTATGATGCGCCAGCGGACGTCATAAATGTGCGTCTGCTGCTGTGGGGAAACTATGGAAACTACAGTTTTCTATACAGCGGACTACAACATGGATGTTTAATAAGAACGAGGGACTACTGTAAACTCATCTAGAGACTCTGCACCGTGCTCTGATGCTGTTGTTTTATGCTTTATGAACGGGGACAACAGAGAAACATATTCTTCATGACCAAAGTTGGAATTGAAATAAAAAAGGAAAGTGAAACTTATGCTCGTCACCCTCTCCCTCCGGTCCACATTAATACAAATGATCCCAATACGTATGATTGTATGAAAAGATCTTAAAATCAATACAAATGTATTTATTATAACGGTTAGTCCTTAACATCTATCACTGTGTATATCACCATTCAAACATCTTTTAAAAGTTGAACAAACCCCACACAGCTCAGTAAAGACTGTGAAATGTTGACTTTATTTGATCATTTCAGTAAAAACTAACGTTCATATTTCTCTTTTTGATTATAATACTGATGAACGTTCAAAACAAAGCACTTTGGCAACTTACCACATACGTTTTAAAATGCTTAATAAGCACCGTAACTTTCATGATATCATTTCTCGCTCATAATCGGTTGTTTCCGTGAACGGCCGACTGTTGTGTGACGGCAAATGCTGCGGCCGCAAGGCATTGTGGGGCAGCATGTTCTCCTCTCCTTTCGGTTAGGGAGGTCCAGTGGTTCCTAAGCTAAAGGAGGTTATAAAGGAAGTTTGAAACCTCCTTTCCTTTTAATTTAGAGAATTCGAACGGCACTTATCATGGCTGCCACTGAGGGACTTCCGGGTCATTTCACTCCGTTAGGAAGGTTCCTAAGCTAAATGGACTATTCGAATGCAACCCCGGCTTCTTCTTCTTCTTCTTCTTCTTCTTCTTCTCTCGGTTTTTTGGCGGATTTCAAACAACTTTAAGGTGCATACTGCCACCTCCGGAGTCGGCTTGACTCGGTTTGCATTTATAAATGCACACGGCATCTATTGCACGTCTGTCCGTCCTGGGAGAGGGATCCCTCCTCTGTTGCTCTCCCTGAGGTTTCTCCCATTTCCCCTTTAAACTGTGGGTTTTTCTCTGGAAGTTTTTCCTTGTATGATGTGAAACGTAAGGACAGAGGGTGTCGTATTGTCATACTGATATTCTGTACAAACTGTGAAGTCCACTGAGACAAATGTAACATTTGTGATATTGGGCTATATAAATAAACATTGATTGATTGATTGATAAAGAATGGACAAATGTGTTTAATCGTTAATGTCAGATATGTACTAAGTAAATACATTTGTTCCTGCTCAAGATTAGATTCAACTTTATTGATATTGCACAGATTACAGGTACTGAGACAACGAAATGCAGTTTAGCTTCTAACCAGGAGTGCAAAAAGCAGTAAAGTGAAAAGTAATGTACACAATCTACAGAATAAAATATAGAATGAATTGAATGATGAATAAACAGTGAGGGGTATGAATACACTATATACACAGTAGCCTAGCCTAGTATGAACAGTGTGTTGTATGAATATGCTAAGATATATAAAGTATGACAACGGTAAGCAGTGCAAGTATAGTATAAAATATATAGATATTAATGTCATGATGATAAACATTGTGGAACAATGATGAAAAATGTGAATGGAAGTGGCGACGTAAAACTGACACAAAACAACAACACACTTTTGCCGAGCCAATGGAGAGTTTCATCTCCAGCACGGGGTAAAACCCACCAATGAGCGCTCAGCTCGAGATACCAGCGAGTCGTTTCCCATCAAGCATTTCGCTTCCGCAGCCCGGGGAGAGAAACTTTTTTTTTTTTTTTTTTTTTTTTTTTTTTATTGAACATTTTTTTAAACATACAAAAGCTCGGTGAGGATATCATCAACTTATCAACATAAGTTCAAGACATTCATTCACAATAAGACAAAAAAACATAACTAATACATCCAGTAAGAGCCAGGGGGAAAGAAAAAAGCATAAAGGCACAAAAACATTTAAGAGGCATTAAGCTTACTTAAAATAATAACCATTTGGAAATGTCATTGCAAATCTTTATAGACAGGTTACAAGATTGTATTTTTCTAAGGGACAGAAAAAAGGACTTGAACTCATTTATGAAACAGGGAAAGGAGGGCTTGCCTCCTCTCCATTTACTACAATGTAAATGGTATTTACCCAAAATAATAATTATATTTACCAAATCAGAAATGGGAGAGTCCAAATTATCAATATAATATAAAATGTGATATATTTTGAAGGCCGGAATATTTGTTAATTTAAGTAACAACCAATCTCTCACATTCGACCAAAACAATTCAGAAAAAGGGCAAGAGAAAAATAAATGTTCCAACGATTCATCAGATAAATTACAAAAGGAACATGGTTCCACTTCAAATTTAAATCTTGAATTTAAAAAAGTAGAAACCGGGTAGATTTTATGAACAATTTTAAAATGAGTTTCTTTTGCTTTAGGGGAAATAGGCCATTTTATAAAATCAGATAGAGCTTTTTCCATTACAGATAAAGTGTCTAAATCGGTCACTTGAGGAAATAAGCCTCTGTTAAAATTGTGAAAAATGTGGGATTTCAGGGAAGCATTAATAGATTTGTTATTCTTAAGAGTATCGCCAATCATTTCCAAATTAGGTAAAACTGATACAACATTTGAGTACAGTAAAGTATTATGAATCATTCCAATAAGTGGTACAGGAATTGCTTTACAGATTTTGTTATAATCTTTAGCAGTACACGTTATATTGTATTTCGTTGAAAAGGCCAAAAGATCTAGCAGTTTACCATTGCAATCTAGTAAATCTCTAACAAACAAAATACCCCTCTCATGCCAATCACTCCTAAACAAGGATTTTCTGTTTATGATAATCACTCTATTGTTCCATAACGTAGATCCATGAGGAGAAAAATTGTGGGTAAATATCATCTTCCAATAATGAAGTATCTGCTTATGAAAATTTGACAATTTGGTCGGAATCTTATTAACCTCAAAATCACATTTTAAAAGAAATTCAAACCCTCCTAGACGTTTAAATATGGCCTTTGGAATATGGAACCACATGGATTCTGGCTGGGACAAAAAGGCTTTCAACCATTTTATTTTAATTGTTCCAATCATCGATTCAAAGTCTAAAGCTTTAATTCCGCCTTTATCATATTCTTTAACAAGCTGTGACTTTTTAATGTAGTGAGTTTTATTTCTCCACAAGAATTGGAAAATAATTGAGTTGGCTTTTTTTATATTAGCCGAAGAGACAAAACATGAGTGGCATGGATAAATAAGTTTAGATATACCTTCTGCTTTAGTAAGAAGAACTCTGCCAAAAATAGTAAGATCTCTAGTTAACCAACGACTGAGAGATTTCTTCATATCTGTGATACGGTTACAAATATTAAGATCTTCTCTCCTGATATCATTTTTAGATAATGTTATTCCCAAATATTTCACCTCAGGTACCACTCTAATAGAGTCAATAGTGGAATCATCACATGAATGGATAGGGAGTAATTCACATTTTGAAAGATTAAGAGATAACCCTGATGCTTTTGAAAAAATTGAAATTGTGTTAAGAGTTTCCTTTACCATGGATTTATTCTTTAGGAAAATGGATGTGTCATCCGCAAATTGACTAATTTTGAACTCTTTGTCAAAGAGGGTAATGCCTAATATTTTGTGATTCTTTATAATAAGCGTTGTTAATACTTGGGTGGTCAGAATAAATAATTTGGGGGAAATAGGGCAACCCTGTCGAATACCACGTA